CACCCCACCTTCTGCCCCAGCCCTGAGCCCTCTCCCACACCCAAACTCCCTCCCTCACCCCACCTTCTGCCCCAGCCCTGAGCCCTCTCCAGCACCCAAACTCCCTTCCACACCCAGACTTCCTCCCAGAACCCACACCACCTCCCGCACCCAAACTCGCAGCCCAGAGCCTGCACCAGTTAAAAAAGTTTATTTATTTCTCTCTGATTAACTGTCATTTTATACTATAAGGTTTCAGTCCCTTTTATTTATGGCTTTTTTTCAGCATAGGTGTTTTTCACTAACTTGGTAGCATAAGCATGCCTGATTGCAAATATTAACCTTAAACTAAAAGAGATCAATATGAACACAACCCCATCTTTCCTTTACAGGGTTACCCTTGACATTAAAGTTTACAATATTTTGCTCAAAGCTGTATCACTTATCTGTATAAAAGGAAGTTGATTATAACTTCATTTAATCATAATATGAGATTCCATCGAGTTCCCTGTTTTTCACTACTATATATACCAACATCATATAATGTCTTAATGTTTCATATGAGTTTATATATATTTTTGAATTCATTCATTCATTCACAGACAGAGGGGACATCTCTCCAGAAGCACCAACAGTACATTCTTGTGAAAGGTTGCAGAGACCTAGTTTCCTCAGACAGACTGAAGACATCTTCCCATTAGACCTTGAGCGTGGGGTGTGTTTTTTGCCCCCTCAGTCATTCCCCCTTTTTTTTCTAAGTAGCCTGGATGCCTGGGCAATTCCTAAATGATAACTCAGAACTTTGGGGCTTTAGTTAGTACACAGGGCTGATAATATCTCCAAGGAGTTTGTTTACTGTTTTTGACCTCTGATTCAGCAAGATACTTAAGCACATTCCTCACTTCAGACACATAAACAGTCCCATGGACTTCATTTGGATTTCTAACATGCTTAAAGTTAGGCATATGCTCAAGTATCTTGCTGACTTGAGGCCTTCCCCACTAGCAGCTAAATCGTGCTCATCTTTCTCATGTGAGTGGTCCCATTGACTGAGATTTGTTTTATTTAGATTTGTATTAACTTATACAAAAAATCACTTGTTAAATACTCTAGCTGCCTTTGATAAAAGTTAGTTTTATTTTGATTAAAAATATTTTTATCAGCTAACTCCTAACCAAAAACCTATCCTCATACTCAGACTCCCAAAACAGTCTCCATCATACCCCTCCAACAGTCTAGGTAAATCGCTATGCTTCACAGCATGCCCAGAAGATTGACAAACTCAGTCTATTTCAGGTAGAGGGGTGTGGGGGAAGGTGGGCATAGGCTGGGGGCTTATACTGTATTGCAAATTCCCACTGTTTGAAGGAGAGAGATCTCCATCTTGACCATCTCTGCTGAGGACAACTGTAGCAGAGCGCAGAGTGAGCACTGTCCTGGCGTCGTCATTGTCCTCACAGAACAACCTAAGTAATTAGAGGACAGGAGATATTGACATCTGAGGAAATATTTTTTAAAAGATATAAGTATGTATAGGTTAGCTAAGTGACTATTCAAAGTATGTGTGGAGTGGAGGGGATAGAAGTCTGCAGTTCTATGAAAGGCATAAGGGACAGGGGTTGTTGGACATTATACAATAATGTTACAAATGAATATGATACAAATGAATGTTTGATATGCCAAAAATGAAACTTTAATTAAACCCAGAAAAAGATTAGTGTGGGGTTTGGAGTAGGAATAATACCAGGAGGGGGTAAAGAGTGATATTAATGTCAGCCTGTACTTTCTGGACATACTTTTTAGGAGTAGAAGATAATACAAAGGGACATAACTGGTAGTAATTGGCTGAAATTCAGAAGGGAGGAAATTTAAGATGAGAAAAAACTTCTAGATATTAAGATGTTAGTAATTTATTAGTGAAATGGGTAAATGACTGTTGGTTCTTTTTTCATTTAGTAATTTCAGGCATTGATGGGCATATGAAAGAATAGTAAAATTATTCATATAACTATTTCTCATTTTATACTAATTGATTTAAATGCACCAGGTGTTTCATTATTGTAGAATAAATATGACTAAAAATAATACAGATTTTTGTCAATTAGATGAATTGACAGTCAAGAGCTTTTCAAATACAATACTGTGAATTGAGCCTTAGGACCCACTTTCTAAATCTCATAAAGTGGCAAATTAATGGCCTGTGTTAATGGTTCAAGTATCTTCTAAATACAAAGAAGCTACTAAATCTGAACTAGGGTAGACTATTTTAGGTTTGGGGGTGATTCTTTCTTTAGTAAACTGGACCATAGTCCAGAAATATATTAAATATATTAAACAGTCAAAATGTGAGTTAGGTTTGCAGGATTTTGGCCCAAACCTGAATATAAGGTACTAAATTCTGCTCTTTTAGATTGACATAAATCCATTTGAAAACAAGTGCCAGATTTCCTAAATGCTTCACACAAACAGAGTTGCCATTGACTTCATGGAGTGCTTTCACACTGAATGTACCGTGCTTACCAGGTGATATGTTAAGAAATAGAATGCACCATGCTTAGAGATCACATGTTAGTTCTTTAAAAGTTGCGGCCATGACAAACGTGATTTTTGTGCAATGAAACATTATCACAATGGCTATATGTTACATTTAATCCAAAGATCTCAGAGTTGAGTTGTATATTGCCATTCTCATGTGAGACATCATGCCCATTTTATAGAAACATAAAGTGAATTGAAAAGAGGTTAATTAAACTGTAACCCTAAGGATGTGATTGAAAGATATATTTGAAAAGGAAGGCAGTTTGGCTTGTGGTTCTTGACTTCTGGATTCCATTCCTGATTCTGGCACATGCAGTTAGCATAAGTGTGTGAGCAAATTGAGTAGCTTTGCCACTTATGAATAAAACACTCATCACAAACCTATGCTGATTGAAACCTTTTTACCTCACTGATTATTCTGTTTAGGAGAAAATTTTCAAAAGTGGCCTCTAATTTCAGGTGCTCAGCTTCAGACTGGGTTTCAAAGTTGCTGAACATTCCCAGCTGCCATTAACTGGGCACTGTGAGTGCTTTGCACCTCTGAAAATTAGACAATAAGTATTTGGCCACTCAAAAGTTGCATTGCCTAATATTTAAATTAGGAGAGGTTCTGTAGCTTAGTTTATGCAGTTGGTGAGTCTAGATGACCATAATGGTCCCTTCTGGCCTTAAATTTTATGAAAAAATAAACCTTTTTTGAAAATCTTAATAGATTTATTGTAATTATGTCTTACTACTTAGTAATTCCATATTCTTGGGAAGATTGTTAGAAGTAACGTACTGTACTGTTTACAGCTATAATCTGTGTCTGATTTTTGTGCATATGTAACTCTGGGAAGAAATGTGATTTACATATTACATTCTTTCAATTTCAGATTTTGTACAGCCATGGCATCCATGCTTCAGGATTCTTCGTTGCTTTTGTTATTTCTCTTGTATTAACATGCGTTGCGTTTTTTGCTGTTTACCAAACTAGAAGATTAAAATGGAGTTTCCTTAATAAAAACCAGGTGAGTCATATTTTCTACAATAAAACTTTATCTCATCTTCTCATAAATGGTATCTCGAAATGGTTTCCAGAATTAAGAAATGCAGTGACTAGCCTGAAATTCTGAAAAGTTGGCAGTGGAAAGATAAATTGAGATATTCAGTCAGAATCTCAGCTGATGTAAATCTGTATAGCTACATTGTGTTTGGCATGGTCAACCTTAGAGAGGGGAATCTAGGACTGGCCATAATCATCTATCAAATTTTAAAAGTGTTAATCCATGTCTACAGTATGTGATAACACATTTTAAAACATGATTATTTTTCCTAATCTAGACATGCTGATAATAGATAAATAGCTGTTCTTTCCCTGCTTACAATGTGGATTTTGCTGGTGGCCTCAAAATTTAACAGTATACTGTAATTTATCAAATGAGTATGAGGGATTATTGATAATTTGATGGAAAGCTATGTAAATGTGTATGGGTTTGAGCAAATGTGAGGTTTATGCCTGGAAGGAGGGAGGTGGTATTAAAGCAACCCATATCTCCTTCACACTACCTGCAGGAGTGACTCTGACTTATTTCCTAAACTGGAAGATTTAACATGATGTTTGTTCGTGGCTCACCTATTCACAGGGTGATTTAAATCAGATTTTTTTGATAAAATGCTTTTTGAGGAAAAAACCTATCTAAAGATAGTTTTAAATAAGATACATTATAGCTCAAAGATATAGAATCATGGAATAGGGATTATAAATTCTAATTCTATAGTAGAAGGCAATATAATGTAATGTTTAAGAAAAGTTTTATAAATGAGTTCCAATAGTTCATTGATTAGGGACCCAATCTTATGGGGCTCCAGGGGCTTCTGTATAGATTATTTAGGTTAATCTTTTTATCTACCCAATGGGACTCAGTGCTCAGTCTAGAAGATACATAAGAACGTAAGCCAAAAGCAAGAACCCCTTGGGGCTCGCTCCCCCCTCCCCCCCCACCTCACCAGGTAAGTGAAAAAATGATACCATCAGAGATGCTTAGTTTTGCAGTTCTCAAACTATGGATTTGTGTCTCCAGAGATAACATGCTTGTTAACAGCAAAAATGTTTTAAAATAAATAACTAATGTGTAGAGGTGAGAAATAACAGACCTCAACCCTATTGTCCCTCTGCAAATTTGTGTACACAGAATCAATTCCTTACCTCTCTCTAAAAGTGCAAAGTTTCAGAAAGTTCAATGAATAGAAGATTGTTGGGGGTGGAATAGATCTGGACAAGGAGAAGAAGTCTGGAGATAAATGTGAGAAGGGAGGGACAGGCAGTAGAAACAAAAGTGAAACTGTTTGAGCAGCATATTCCAGAAGTCTTGAAGTCTTTCTGAGTGTAGCCTTCATTGATTTGAGATCTACCATACCATTCTCTCACTAAAAGGGAAAACCTATAATGGCAGCAAGGCGTAAAAGAGACCCAGTTTGGGAATATTTTAATGAAGTTCCTCTACCTGTGGGTAAGACAGGTATGTGTGCAAAATGCAAACAGTGCAACAAAGAAATGCAAGGCCTGGTTGCCCGAATGAAACAACATCATGAGAAGTGTTCCTTCTCAGGAGGAAGCTGCATTGAAGATGGTGAATGGAACATGTCTGAACATGCAAGATCTTCAGGTTGATAAACTTCATTTCATACTTTTTTCTTAAGGACTGCCTGTCTTCCTTCTGGGCTATTCTTGAATTCTCATGTTTGAGCAAAAAATATAGTTGTTACTCTATGGTACTGTCATTTTAGATGCATTTGTGATTAAAAAATAAATAGCTGAAGTAGGCAGAACTTCCTTTTACAATTTCACCTTTAAAGTAGTACTGAATGCAATGAGTAATACTAAATAAGCAGTATGGTAATAATAATTCAATAACTGCATTGACTTATTTTGTTTAGGAGAATCCATCCTCAAAAAACAGGATTCTGAAGACTATCCACCTTCAAAATCACCATCATTTTCTATAGTTTCAGAGTTATCTGCCAATGATAGTGTTTCAGTCACACCATGTATGTCACATAGCCACAGTATATCACCTGTAGCAAAAAGGAAAAAAATCTCCATCATCCAGAAACAACCATAGATAAGTTTGTGATAAGAACCAGCAGATTACAGAAAGAGGTAATTGATGAAAAAATTGCCCGGTTTGTTTATGCAA